TATTTTGAGACAGGGTCTCCCCAGTTGCTCGAGATCTTGCTAAATTGCTGAGGCTGGCTTTGAACTTGCAAGTCACCTGCTTCAGCCTCCTGAGCAGCTGGGATTATTGGCGTGCACCACCACACCCCCAGCTAACATCCTGATTTTTTTCGACTTTTTTGTGTGACATAACTTTTTTTGTTCAGTCACCTGAAATTCACGTGGATAGAGAGACTGGTATAAACAAACTGATTTWAAAAAACTATTTAACCAAAGTCATTCAGCTAGTAAGTGGCAGAACTGAGGCTGAAACATAGGTCTTAGGATAGTAACTTTCAAAATTTCTATTAAAACACAATAGTACCTTATATATAAATAAATTTCATATTTACATTAAAGAGAAGGCAAACAATATGTATTTATTGGTAAGGTTACATAAAGCTTGATTTGTGATGTTTAAGATCTTGTTCATTTGTTTTAATATAAACCAATAATTATATTTTAATATAAACTGCTAAAGGAGGAAAACCATTATCCCKGGCATCAGGTGAAAATGTTACATGATTAACTAAGAGACAGACCCACTTTTAACAGGGATATTGCACTGCGRCACAACTAAGGACATAAAACAATAAAATAAATACAGGAAGGGAAATGAAAGGCAGGCACTAATACAAAGGAAGGAACTCTGGGAGTCTCTATGACCACAGAATGACTGAGTCAACCAGACAGTGTTAGGACAGGTGGCTGTGAAGAGGCAGATACAACAAGGTTAGCAATTACTCCTCCTTCACACCATGTTTCAGCACCGTCCCTGTAGACTACTTTCACTACTTCAAGTATGTGGAGAAACTGGAAAAAGGCTCAARCAAGAGAAATGAAAAGAACAAAACAATAGGTATTTGTTAGGAAGTGAAAGAACATGAGGTTGCTTATTAAGGAGAGTAAAAGTTGATTTAATTATGACCCTTGGCGAAGACCGATAGAATGCTCTTCCTCAAATTTGTCACAGGCTCTGGCTTTTTCCAGTCATTTAAATTCCAAACAAATATCAGTTTCTCAGATGCTTTCTCCAAAGCAGCCTCCTCGGTTTCTGGCATGTCCCTCTGTTTTGTTCCCTGCATTGGCTGTAACCCTGAAATTCTTCTTGGATGTGTACTACAAAAGCACGGATGGTAAGCACAGCTTATTTCTAGTTAATACAGATGGCACTGGGAACATGGTGGGTATTCTACACAGGTCTGTAGAATCCCATCCAAGAGGCACCTACATGCCAACATGAAAAATGAGTTTTCAAATTAATGCATGACCAATACTGTCAAGGCACAGGAATCATTACTTGACAGTMAAAACAAAACCCACAGACTGCTGTGGGATGCAGTGAATCCTTGGATCAGTCATGCATCTGTCTTAGGAGTTTTACAAAATCCATTYGCCTAAATAACTTCTAGTGGTGACTCCCAACACCATGATCAATACTTGAGAGCATAGAAATGAAGTCTCATTAGCAATTGATTGATTGACAAGTTCTTACTACGTACTAGACAGGGTTCTACAGTTTTTCATATATCAACTTGATTAATCCTTATAATTCTATAAGTACTAACCTATTTTTCATCTACAAAGTGGCATCTTTAAGCTAAAGAGGTTAAAAAATCAGCCTGCAGTTACCCAGTTTGTAGCTGGTAAACTCTGGGACTCAGATTCAGATAATTGCACTTGTGCCATTCATTAAAGGTGGAAGTGAATTTAAACACAGAAAAAAWGTTCAACAGGAAGCATAGCAGATCGATGAATTATGGCACAGGAGTTAGGTGACTCGGACTTTCTGCATGGCTTGACTTACTGTGAGGATCCTTTCAGATTCCATCTTCCTGTAAACTTGCAGTATATCATGGGGATATTGCTACTGTACCAATTTTCTCCCTTTCAAAATGTCTTTATTCAAAGAAATGTAAAATAAATATTCATGTCAAACTGGAGGCATTATAATTAATTTCCCCATGACACATTTTAAACAATGACCAACACACAGACAATCTTCATATATGCCATGTTCCTCCCGAACATACACACATACTGGATGATTTCAAAGCAAATGATGATTGTACCGGAACAGCGATCTTTAGTCTATCCCTAAAAAGATGTGTTTGAGTTTGAAATGCATATAATTCCTTTCCTTCAAGAAATCTAAGAACTGGTAGCAGTACCAGGAGCAATCCAAACAGGGGTTTTTATTATCAAAAAAGAAAAAACAAACCTAAAAGACATAAGTAAAAACAATTTCTCAAAAATCACTAAGTCTTTATTTGGAAACATGATGACATTTTAGGTGCTACATTAGAACAGGAATTAAGTTTAAACTTGACAAATGTTGTAAAAGACTTAAGAAAGCTCACTAGGGTTTTTGTGCCTATCGTGCTGACAAACATTATTCCAAGCACGGTGACAGCCAGAAAGCACATTAGTAGAAACAATTAATCGCCAAAACACACCTGTTTATCCTCCAGTGGGTCAGGCTCTCCTTTGCTGGATTCAGAGCTGACATCATCTTCATCAGAACTGTCAATGACTTCCTCCTCATCAGAGGGTAGGTCACCAAGACCAAGGTCGAAATCATCCTGTTCCTCCTGGGATGTTCCAGAACTGCTTCAATAGAAAGTATGATTCAGTCACCTTTAATAACAAGTTCTGGCAAAACCAAACCAAAATCAACCACCTAATCCTTGTGATGTGAGCGAAGCACATATCTAACGGGTTGGTTCTGAGGGATGGAAATGGTCAGATTGGGCCCATTCCCCTTCCCTTTCCCTGACTTGGCTGTCAAATGCATTCATATTCATGTTGGGTTTAAAATTTAATTCAACACCAATTTAATATCGTTTTGATGACAGGGAGGTGGATGGGAGCAAGTTTCCCAGTTGTCACCATCCTGTTCTTCCATTCGTCTTTCCCCTAGAAGATCAGGCCTTTCTTCTCATTATAAACCAACAAACCCCACAATGGTGGGCTGGCTTACCACAAAGGGCACTGGGAGCACAGGTTCACCAGAAGCGTAACTGCCTCCTTGGGCCTCAGTGTTTAACAACAACAAAACCAAGTACCAAATCTATGCGGGCTGGGAGTAAATAATAATAATAATAAATAATCAGCAATGTATGTGCTACTGTGAACAAGTGCCCACCTTCCTGGTTCTCGCTGGTTTGTATGCACATCACAAGACATGGACAAGAATAGGGAAATGCTACAAATTCTCAGGCTCCACTCTWGACCTGCTGAATCAGAAACCCTAGGGGTGCAGGACCCAGCAAATTGCATTTTAACAAACCTTCCAGGTGATGCTGATTCAAAGTCTGAAAAMCACTACAGGCCATTTACCAAGTCCCCCTTGCCAGCCTGATATCAAGGTTTCCCAGTTTGTACTGAGACAGACCTCATGAATCAACAGCCAGGGCTGCAATCCAAACTGTAGGGGGAATTCCACCGGAAAGTTCCCCAGGAAATAGTTCTTTCCAGTGTTGGCTGTCCAGACTCAGAAAAAAAAAATTGCCTTCAGAAGACATTTTTTGCTGTCAGTCTACAGGAATATCTGCAGAACAGAAGACTATAGGTGGGGCCAGTAAAAGATCCAAAGAAAACCACAGGGGGAAGCACTCCAGCAGARTAAAGACACTTGCATTCCACTCTATTGGGCTCTTTCAGCAGGTCACGGGCAGGTCACTCAACTGCCAAGGCTTCAAGTTATGAGAGTTTCTAACGGGAATCTTAAAAGCTAAAGATAAAGYTTTTGCCACTTCCAGATTACACATCGTAGGATACAGATTTGTCAGAAACCATCCYTGCAGCCCAGGTGGTTGGATGCAGGCAGAAGGCCAAAACGAATGCCTTCCACCATCCAGCATGGGATTTCCTATTACTCAGTGGCCCGGGCCTCAGGGACTCTTATCTCTCAACCAGGTGAGTACACACCTTATCATACTTATGACTTGGAGGAGACTCACACCCTGGGGGTGGGGTGAAGAGSAGAAGCTTTCCAGTCAAATCACTGGCAAGATTCACTGTCTCTGGGTGCAGGGATAAGAGCCAACCCAGCCTGGTTGTTCACTGTTGATTTAGATTGGAAAGAATAAATGAGTGTTACTGGGCACAATGGCTCATGCCTATAATCCCAGCTACCTGGAAGGCTGAGGCAAGAGGATGGTAAATTCAAGGTCAGTCTCAGTAAGTTCAAAGCCAGCTTGGGCAACTGAGTGAGAGACCCTTGTTTCAAAATTAAAAATTAAACAAAAAATAAAATAAAWTAAATTAATTAATTAAAATCAGAAGGGTTGGGGCTGAGCGCAGTGGCACACACCCAATCCCAGCAGTTTGGGAGGCTGAGACAGGAGGACCACAAGTTCAAAGCCTCAGCAAAAGCCAGGTACTAAACAACTCAGTGAAACCCTGTCACTAAATAAAATACAAAAATGGGCTTGGGATATGGCTCAGTGGTAGAGTGCCCCTGGGTAATCCTCAGTATCAAAAAAAGGTGGGGACCTGGGGGTGTGGCTCATCAGTAGAGTGCCCCTGCCTTCAACCCCCAGCACATAAATAAATAAATAGTTAACAAAATATAGGCTATAAAGTAAATCCACACAGACAGAAGAAATCATACCTTTACTTGTTTGTTTTTCCAGTGCTGGGGCTTGAACCCAGGGCCTTGTAAATATAAATACAGGGAAGTTCTCTACCACTTACCACACTCCAGCCCCACTTGTCTTCATCTTAATTTCTTATCTCTTTACATCTCCTAAAACCCTGTCAACATATGTTTGATTTCTGARCAGCATCAGCATCACCTACAAGCTTCTTAAAAATGCAAAATCTCAGCCCCTACTCCAACCTACTGAATCAGAATCTGTTACAACAAAACTCAGGTGACAGGTGAGAAGTTCTRCTCTAAAGGCTTTACAATCAGCACATCTGTGGACTGTTATGGATGTCATGGCATAAGAATTTTGGAGAATTAGAACAGGGCTGTGGCACTGTGAAGAAATCAGATTTATTTTGTCTAGAGAGCTGAAAGGTTTTTCTTCTTCACACATTTGAAGGCTACTATTAAGACAGTAAACCAGCTGTCACATCCATTAGGGATACAAAAGGGATTAAAGTATAAGAGTTAACATTTAAGATCAAGGAGATGGCTGGATGCAGGGTGCATCCATATAACAGCTGGGTGAGTCTAATGTTTTTGTGTTTTTTGGTGCTTTTCATGTATTTAATGTATAAATCACAAAGTTGAATTT